AGGCACATCCCCAGTAGGGGGTGTGCAGGAGGCAGCTGATCGATGTTTCTCTCTCATCGATGTTTCTAACTCTCTATCCCTCTCCCTTCTCCTCTGTAAAAATCAATAAAATATATTTTTTTAAAAGAAATAAATATTTTCAGATAATTAATGAATGCATTTTTATGTACTATGTAATTTACTTCTGCATCAACATGAGATATGTTTTAATGGTTTCTCTTGCAGAACGAACATGAAGAAACATAATCCATCCCTGGTGGTACAATTATCTTACCCAGACTTGGTCATCAATGTAGGAGAAGTAACTCTTGGGGAAGAAAACAGAAAGAAGCTGCAGAAAGCTCAGAGAGATCAGGAGAAGGAGAAAGTTTTGCAGGCTGCCTGTGCTTTATTAAACTCAGGAGGAGGAGTGATTCAGGTGGAAATGGCTAATGGCAATGAGCATCGTGGGACTTTGGGGCTGGATTTAGAAGAGTCTTTGAGAACACTTAGTCAGTCTTCAGATTTTCGGGCTTTCTTTGAGACTGATCCACAAGGGAGGTGTTTTTACATTTTTGTTAAATCTTGGAACACTGACTTTTTCCCTGAAGATCGTTCCAAGCCCTGCATTTGCAGCCTGGATTCTTCTTTACACCGTAGATCTGAAACTTCTGTGGTTCTCATGGATTCAAGAGAGGCATTTCGTTTCCTGGAAACCAAGAAAAGAAATGCAAAAGAGATGGGAAAAGAAAAAAGAGATGGGGAAGAACCTCCTAATAAAATTCTCAGGGGTGCAAGTTTTGCAAAGCAAAACTCTCATGACGAGCAGAATCCAGAAAATTTGGATTCTGCTCACCAAATTTTCCAAAGAGACCAGCTTGAGTATGGTGAAATCCTGCCTTTTGATGAGTCTCTACACATAGAGTTTAAACAGTTCGCTACGAAACACATCTCAGTCCGTGTAAAAGACATAATTCCAAAGTATATATCTGCATTTGCAAACACTGAGGGAGGCTATCTTTTCATTGGAGTGGAGGATGAGAGTAGGAAAGTTCTGGGATGTGCTAAAGAAAACATTAAGCGTGAGGATTTGAAAAAGGAAATAGAAGATGCAATAAACAAATTACCTCGTGTCCATTTTTGCCAATCCCAATGCCAGATAACTTTCACAGTCAAATTCTTGGAAGTGTTAGCCGAGGGGCAGTTGTATGGTTATGTTTGTGGGATCAGAGTGGAGCCATTCTGTGGTGCAGTGTTCTCAGAAGCTCCCAGGTCATGGATGGTGAAAGACGAGGAAGTCTGCTGCCTGACAACTGAGGAATGGGTAGGCATGATGATGGACACAGACCCAGGTAAGAGGGGAAAATACCTCCCTCCCTGTCCTTTTCTTACTCTAGCACCCTCATACTAAACAGGCTTTCCTTTCTTTCCTATGACTTTGAACTTCTCACACCCACTAGACTCTGTGTTATTTGAATCTCCCAGTATCCTGCTTTCCATACATGATAAAATTTTGCCAGGTAATTAGAAGCCCAAATCAAGTGTCTTATAATAGGCAATGTTTTCACATCAGAAGATGAAAAGAAAATTTGGGGACATTGTTGCCTTGTAGTAGCTCTTACTGGCTCTAGGGTCATTTATTAATATTTCAAGAATTTTTGTGAGCCAGTTGTTAAACACAGTCATTATTAAAAATTAAGTTATATAAACTTATAATTAAATTATATTCAAAACAAATGCAAAGTCACCACTTCTGAATTATTTACTACATTTTATTTTTATTTTTTTAAAATATATTTTATTGATTTTTTACAGAGAGGAAGAGAGAGGGATAGAGAGTTAGAAACATCGATCAGCTGCCTCCCTAAAGTCACCACTTCTGAATTATTTACTACATTTTATTTTTATTTTTTTAAAATATATTTTATTGATTTTTTACAGAGAGGAAGAGAGAGGGATAGAGAGTTAGAAACATCCATCAGCTGCCTCCTGCACACTCCCTACTGGGTATGTGCCCGCAACCAAGGTACATGCCCTTGACCAGAATCAAACCTGGGACCCTTGAGTCAACAGGCCGACGCTCTATCCATTGAGCCAAACCGGTTAGGGCTATTTACTACATTTTAATAGTATCTTTGCTTGTCAGGTTATTTACATCTATTGTATCTGTATGGTAGAAATACTATAAAAGGCTGTGCTATTGTATGTTTCTTATCAACTCTGCACTTAGTGATGTCACATTGGTAGCTTGAAACTGTCTATGGTGAGAATATTACATCACAGAAATAAGCTACATGTGCATAGATATTTACTAAAACACTGTGCTACATACCATAAATACAAATGAAATGCTATCTAGACATAGAAAGTAAAGAATTATATTGAATGGGAAACACATTCAAACTTCCAAATAATATCTCTTCATTGTTGGATTTTGGCAACCTCCATATGCAATAAAGACATGAGTCTACACAGGTGAATAGAGCATTATCTTGCCATTATCTCTCAAGTCACACCACCTACCAGTGATTCTCAACCTTCTGGCCCTTTAAATACAGTTCCTCATGTTGTGACCCAACCATAAAATTATTTTCATTGCTACTTCATAACTGTAATGTTGCTACTGTTATGAATCATAATGTAAATATCTGATATGCAGGATGGTCTTAGGCGACCCCTGTGAAAGGGTTGTTTGACCGCCAAAGGGGTCGAGACCCACAGGTTGAGAACCGCTGACTAGACAGTCATAGAATACACCTACTTGTAAGGCAGTGGTTCTCAACCTTGGCTGCACATTAGAATCACCTGGGAATCTTTTTCAAATCCTGATTTCTGGGCCTCATCCTCCAGAAATTCTGTTTCTTTGTTACTAATGATGAGGCCCAGAAATCAGGATTTTAAAAAGATTCGCAGGTGATTCTAATGTGCAGCCAAGGTTGAGAACCACTGTTGTAAGGCCTCTTGCAGTGGTGAAAAGATGGACTAACATGAGTTTTTTTCTTTCTTAAGAGCTTCTGAAATTGTCCGAAGACTTTGAATCTCAGCTGAGTCTGTCTAGCAGGCCTCCTCTTAGCAGACCAGTGTTCTCCAAGAAAGGACTAGAATACAAGGAAGATCTCCAGCAACTTTTATTTTCAGGTAGCAACTGTGGTTTGCCTACTTGACACCAGCCAGTTTCTATGCTAGGATAAGGGCAGCGGGGAGGCGGGGGGTAAATGGTTATGCTTGTTTTTTAAATCCTGAAAATATACTCTCTAAACCTATGTGTACAAGATGATGATGCTGCCAGTAGACCGGTGATAAGTAATTTAAAAATGAATCTTCACTGACCCCACTGGCTGAGGCAGTCCCACATATAGAATCCAGGATTATTATTGCCCTTAAAGACTGTTTGGTCCTGAAGATCTCAAATTACACTGATCATCAGTATTTCTGGTTACTTTTAAAAGTACAGATACCTGGTTCCCCACTCCAGACTCAATAACTTAGACTATCTGGGATAGTATGTCATAATGTGCATTTTTATCATGGTTACTCACATGATTTTGATGTTCATCCATCCAGACTGGAAAACTTTTTATCTAGTTGAACTAGAGGCATACACTGTACCAACAGGAAAAAAAATTGCCCACCTCTGCCATGTTTTCCAGAGGAGTAGCTGCTATGAATATAAAAAAGAAGAAAGATTTATATCAAGATGTAACATAAGCCCTAGCTGGTTTGGCTTAGTGGATAGAGCATTGGCCTTTGGACTGAAGGGTCCCACGTTCAATTCCCAGCAGGAACATCTGAGGTTTTCCCATTCATTTGCATATCAAATTTATATTTTAAAAATTGTCCAAAATAAATTGAATTAGATACAAGATTAAGTATAAACATTGATAACTATTTTCAAAACTCTATAAGCTCCATTTTAGTAGAGCTTATTACCACAGAATAAATTATAACTAAAACAAAATAGCAGATTGTATGTTCATAAGAGCAACAATCTATTTTTCTTATATAAAACACAAATTTTTGCCCTAGCCAGTTTGGCTCAGTGGCTAGAGCATCAGCCTGCAAACTGAAGGGTCCCAGGTTTGATTCCCGTCAAGGGCATATGCCCGGGGTGTGGGCTTGATCCCTAGTAGCGGGTGTGCAGGAGGCAGCCAATCAATGATTCTCTCTCATCTTTAATGTCTCTATCTCTCTCTCCCTTGCTCTCTGAAATCAATAAAAATATATTTTTAAAAAGGCAAATTTTCAGGAATTATACCAAAAATATAAAGAATAGTTTTTAATCCTCACCTAAGGAGTGAGGATATTTTTCCATTTATTTTTAGAAAGAGTGGAAGGGATTGGGGAAGGGGGGAAAGAGAGGAAGAAGAAGAGAGAAAAGCATCAATGTGCAAGTGACACATCAATTGGTTGCCTCCTGCTCTCACCCCAGCCAGGGCCAGGGATTGAACCTGCAGCCAAGGTACATACTATTGACTGGAATCGAACCTGCGACCCTTCAGTCCCCAGGCCAATATTCCAACCACTGAGCCAAACTGGCTAGGGTGAAAGGGACACTTCTTGCCTTGACATAATTTACTTAGGAAGCATGTCCTATTTTATAGTTAAAGTAAGACCTATTCAATGATGAGATAAAACACATTTGCTATGAAATTCTTTAGTGCTTTTCTTCATTTATCAGGAGGGATAGTCTGTGTGACTTGCAGGGCAGTGCAGTAGAGTGGAAACCACAATAGTGTCTGAGGCTTCGGTTTGGATGCTGGCTCTGCCATTTCCTATGGGTGTGGGCATGGGCAACTCACTTGACCTGTCTGAGTTCCAGTTTTCTCATAAAAAGGAGAATAAATGAGTATTTCTCCCTTGTACAATTGAGGGGCCCAGAGATGTCTGTAATCTCCCTAGTACAAGCAACAAATGATGTGTTTTCTTATTTTATACTTCTTTTTGTTTCTAAAGTTCTATTTTAAACATATCCTTATATTATTCTATTTCATCCATTCTAAGAAGTGTGTTTCCCCCATCCTTTAACATCTCCTAAATCTGGATGTTTCATAATGGATGCCGTCTCCCACTGGCTATCATCCAGGTTGCAGACATAATCAAGTCTTGTGAACACCTGGTACAAGTCAGCAACAACAGACAATAAACAATTACCAATGAACTTTGGCTAATTTAACTTAAAATTACTACTACAAATCTGAGTCTGGTTTGTGATCTGACACCAGCACAACAGGATAAAACAGTCTCTTCACTCCCTCTCCCCTCCCCCCATCTTTGGAACAAATGATCATTGAGAGAAGTTTAAAACCCTACGTTATTCTCATGTCACATCATCATTCTTTGCTCCCTCATGACAAAGGGAGACTTCGTGATGGATGCAGTCTCACCCTGATCTGTGAGTGATACCAGAGGTTAGCTTCAGGAGAGTTAGCTCGGGGCCTAACTTCAGGGTCTCTCAGGCCAGGACCACAGGGAATTCTCTGTGAATAAAAGTTTTAACATGGCTCCATCTTCTCCGCAAATATTTAATGAGCACCTTCTTCCAGGGAGGGCTCCTCCTACCTCCATCAATGGGAACTGTTCAGGGAAAAATTGAGATTCAGCAGAACATTTCCCAAGCAGCTACCATGAACCAGATATTTTATGCTATTTTATTTATTCCTCACCATAAGAAATGTGCTATTTGTTAATGTGGGTGTGTTTTTTGCTTTGTTTTACAAATGAGGGAACAGTCTTAGACAGTGGTTCTCAACCTTCCTAATGCCGCGACCCTTTAATACAGTTCCTCATGTTGTGGTGACCCCCAAATTCATTGTTACAAATTGAACATAATTAAAGCATAGTGATTAATCACAAAAATAATATGTAATCACATATGTGTTTTCCAATGGTCTTAGGCGACCCCTGTGAAAGGGTTGTTCGACCCCCAAAGGGGTCGTGACCCACAGGTTGAGAACCGCTAGTCTTAGAGAAACTAAGGAATTTCCCAAGGTTATAAACATAATAAGCACATAGATTTAGATGAAGTGTGCCAGGTTTTCAATACTTCTTTTCCTTTATTATAAAACTAGTGGCCTGATGCATGAATGAAGTTTCGTGCAAGAATGGGCCTTTGTTCCCCTGGCTGCCAGCACCACCTTCGCTCTGGCCAGAGCAGCCTTTTCTGCCTTCCCACACTGCCCAGAGGTCTGGAGCGGCTGGGGTGGCCATGACGACAACGCAAGCGTTCTGCCCCATCCCCGGCCGCTGGGAGCCTGTGTATTCAAATTAACCCGCCATCTTTGTTGAGTTAATTTGCACACTCACTCCTGATTGGCTGGTGGGCGTCGTGAAGGTACAGACAATTAGCATGTTAGTCTTTTATTAGGTCGACTAGAGGCCCAGTGCGCAAAATCGCGCCTGCCCCACCCGCCACACCTTGGAGAGGTGCCCCACCCCACCCCACCGTGCTGTGGAGAGGTGCCCTGCTCCGCACACCATGAGAGCCGTTGCTCATGGGCTGGGGGTGGGGAGAACCAAGAGGTGCTCCATGCACCTCATGGTGACCGGTCGTTTGGTTGTTATGGTTGTGACGCCTCTGGCCTTTTATTATTATGATAATAATATTTATAAATGAACATATTTCAAAAATATTTAATTTATCATAAGATCAATTATGATTGAGTATAAGTATAATTACTTTTTATTAATTGTAATTAATCATATAAATAAATATGATATTGACCTCACATTTATAACTCTTTTTATATCTAGTATCATCAGAAGACTTGCAATTTACTCCTGAATCTCTCTTGAAGGAGCTGTACTCAGAGCATGAAGGCCTGAAGGAATTAATAAAGAAGCAAATGCATTCTTTCTCCCGGGGAATTTTGATCTTTTCTAGAAGCTGGGCTGTGGACTTGAACTTGAAAGAGAAACAGGGAGTCATTTGTGATGCTCTGCTGGTAACACAGAACAGCCCCCCCATTTTCTATACAGTTCTCAGGGAGCAGGATGCAGATGGGCAGTTGTACTGCACCCGTACCGCCTTTACCTTGAAGCAGAAGCTGGTGAACATGGGGGGCTACACCGGGAAGCTGTGTGTCATGACCAAGGTCCTCCACCTGAGTCCTGAGAGCAATGCAGAGTCCCTTGAAGGTTCAGACTCTCTGATTAAGTACCCTAAGTCCTACTACCTTGCAGACACCAAGCAAATGGAAGCCTTGCTGCAGTCCCTTGTGATTGTCTTGCTCAGCTTCAGGTCTTTCCTGAGTGACCAGCTTGGCTGTGAGATTTTAAATCTGCTCACGGTCCAACAGTATGAGATCGTCTCAAAAAACCTCCGCAAGACCACAGAATTGTTTATCCATGGTTTACCTGGCTCAGGGAAGACAATCGTGGCCATGAAGATCATGGAGAAGATCAAGAATACGATGGGTTGTGAGAAAAATGAAATTCTCTATGTTTGTGAGAACAGGCCTCTGAAGGACTTTATTGGGTAAGCAGTTGGATCTCGTTGACACCAAATGAGGTTCAGTTTGAAATTATTCCATGTCTTCCTCTACTCAAATCACTTTGTTACTGCCCTAACTGGTTTGGCTCTGTGGATAGAGCGTCGGTCTGTGGACCGAAAGGTCCCAGGTTCGATTCTAGTCAAGGGCATGTACCTTGGTTGTGGGCACATCCCTAATAGGAGGTGTGCAGGAGGCAGCTGATCAATGTTTCTAACTCTCTATCCCTTTCCCTTCCTCTCTGTAAAAAAATCAATGAAATATATTTTTTTAAAAAAACACAAAAACTAAGCTACAAATCACTTTGTTCTTTTTTTTAAAAAAATCCTCATCCAAGCATAGTTTTCCATTGATTTTTAGAAAAAGTGGAAGAGTGAGGGAAAGACAGAGATAAATATTGATGACACATTGATTGGTTGGGGAGGGTCCAGGATGGAGAGGAGCCTGCAACTGAGGTACGTGCCCTTGACCGGAATCGAACCTGGGACCCTTTGGTCCACAGGTAGATGCTCTATCCACTGAGCCAAACTGGCTAGTGTTTCACTTTGTTCCTTGACAGAAGGGTGGTAAATTGATCTGTAACAACAGTCCTGTGTATATAGGAGTATGATAGAGCAATTTTCCTCCTTTATATACTTGGAGAAAACCTGATTGTGTCTTTTTAATTTTTATAGTAATAAAGATATCTGCCAGGCAGTGACCCGGAAAAACTTCATGAAAGAAAACTTTGAAAATATTCAACACATTGTCATCGATGAAGCTCAGAATTTCCGCATTGAAAATGGGGACTGGTATGAGAAGGCAAAAACCATCACTCAGAGAGGAAAGGATGGCCCTGGAATTCTCTGGATCTTTCTGGACTACTTTCAGACCAGTCACACAGACTGCTGTGGCCTTCCCCACCTCCAATACCAGTACCCAAGAGAAGAGCTCGTCAGAGTGGTCCGCAATGCAGACCCAATAGCCAACTACCTACAAGAAATAATGCACAAAGTAAAAAAAAATCCACCACCTAACATCCCCTCCAAATTCCTGAATATATTCAATGAAGCTGAATGGTCTCAAGGTGTTCCAGGCAACTTAGAGATGAGTGAGCACAAGGATATAGAGCGAATGATGGATTATATAGCAGGAAAATGCCATTCACTTTTGAAGGCTGGATATTCCTGCAAGGATATTGCCGTGATTTGCAGCACAACAAGTGATAAAGACAAATATAAATATGAGCTTCAAAGAGCAATAAGGAAGAGAAAAAGGCCTCGGTCCAGTGAGGAATCTCAGACCAGTGAGGAATCTGATCTGTTATTTATAGGAGATGCATCAGATATCATGGGCAATCACATTGTATTGGACAGTGTCCGTCGATTTTCAGGCCTGGAAAGAAACATCGTTTTTGGGATCAATCCAAGGGCAGCTGAGCCAGCTGTTTTCTACAATCTTATGCTCTGTCTGGCTTCCAGGGCAAGGAAACAGCTGTATATTTTGACTCTCTTAGGAATGACTAACTCTGCATCATTTTAATGATGGTCTTAATTTTTCCTATCATAAGCACAGTATATGCTTCTACTTAATTGTATCTCTCTCAATTTCTTTCTTCAGTATCTTATAATTTTCTGATTATAGGTCTTTTACCTCCTTGGTTAAATTTATTTCTAGGTACCTTATTTTTGTTGTTGTTGTTGCAATAGTAAATGGGATTTTTTTTCTTAATTTCTCTTTCTTATGGTAGTTCATTATTGGTGTATAAAAATGCCACAAATTTATGAATATTAATTCTGTATACCACTACTTTGCCAAATTCATTTATTAGATATAGTAGGGTTTTTTGGTAGAGTCTTTAGGGTTTTCTATATACAATATCATATCATCTGCAAATACTGACAGTTTTACTTCCTCCTTTCCAGTTTGGATGCCTTGATTGAGTAAACCCAGCGGAGATCACTCAGGCTGTCCCAGGGCAGACAACCAATCCAACTTATAGAATGTTTGGCTATATAAATGGTTATTGTTTTCTACCATTAAATTTTGGGTGAATATGTTAAGCAGCAAACAGTGATACAATAACTTCTCAAAGAGATATCTGCACACCCATGTTTATTGCAGCATTATTTACAACAGCCAAGATAGAAGCAACCTAAGTGTCTATCAAAGGATGAATGGATAAAGATGTGGGATACATGCACAATGAAATATTATTTAGCCGTGAGAAAGAAGGAAATCCTGCCATTTGTGACAAAATGGATGAATTTTGAGGGCATCATGCTAAGTGAGATAAGTCAGACGAGAAAGACAATTACTGTGTAAAGTCACTTATATGTGGAATCTAAAAAAACTGAAATGGAGAGAAAAGTGGGTACAGCAGCTGGGGACAGGGGGTTGGGGAGATGTTGTTTAAGATCATAAACCTGCATCTAGTAGATAAAAAAGTTCTGGAGGTCTAGAGCACAGCATAGTGTATATCATCAATAATTCTGTATTATAACATCAAAGTTTCTAAGAGACTAGATCTTAATTGTTCTTACCACAAAAAAGAAATTATAATTATGTGACTTGATAGAGGTATTGAAGCATAGGCACTCCATCTTGTTCCCATAACCTCCATTTTGTAAGAACTATTGTTTAAATTTTCCACTAAACACAGATCGTCCTTTGTTCTTAATTAACTCTGCTATTCCTGGCTTCTGTAAGCATCTTGCTCGATTAATAGGGAAGATAAGCTCAATTATCTGGTCCTGGAAGCTGCTCTGCTGACGTAGGGTCTGGTCCGTCCCTGGTTACACCCATGCCAGGTGTCTTTTAGTTATCTGAATTGTGCTGTGCTCAAGGCTACAAGCTCCCTGCAAGATATCTACTAAGCACTCTGCCCCCATCCCAGTACGTAGGGCTCTTTGAAAAGCCTGCTAAAGGTCTGGAAGCCCCATATTTAGGAGACAAAGAAACCGGGGTCGGGAGGGTATAAAGGGAAATCTTCCTCCATGTTACTTTGCTCAGACTCTGGAGACAACTCCTCTGAGACCACTGGCGTAATAAAGACTCCAAATTTGGCTTACTGATTAAGGCATCCTCTGTTTAGCTCGCTGATTTCAAACATAACATTGTTAGCTAACACTATAATGGTAATCACACCACAATGTATAAATGTGTCCAACCAACATGTTATTTACCTTAAACTTATACAGTATTATGGCAATTAATCTCAATAAAAATAATAAAAATAAATAAATGTTAGCTATTGCTTTTATTACTATTGAATATAGCAAGTTGCATTAACTCTACACATGGTAATATAAAACAAAACAACCTTAAGAAGAAGGTTTAAAATATATAAACCTAATGCCCTAACCGGTTTGGCTCAGTGAATAGAGTGTCAGCCTGCGGACTCAAGGGTCTCAGGTTCGATTCCGGTCAAGGGCATGTACCTTGGTTGCGGGCACATACCCAGTAGGGAGTGTACAGGAGGCAGCTGATTGATGTTTCTCTCTCATCGATGTTTCTAACTCTCTATCCCTCTTCCTTCCTCTCTGTAAAAAATCAATAAAATATATTTTAAAAAATTATATATATACACACACAAACCTAGCCCTGGCCCAGCGGCTCCGTTGGTTAGTGTCACCCTGATACGCCAAGATTTCAGGTTTGATCCCTGGTCAGGGCACATACACAAATCAACCAATGAATGCATAAATAAGTGGAACAACATTCTCTCTCTCTCTCTCTCTCTCGCTCCCTCTCTCACTCAAAATCAATAAACAAAAGTTTTTTTAAAATGAAATATATAAACCTCATTATACATCCTTCAAAGACTAGAGGAGCAAATTTTGAGATCAGATTCAATCCCCACTAATAGGAAAATGGGGAAGAAAAATCTTTGTTCATTGTTACTAAAGTTACACAATAACTAATAATAGCCAGATTTATTGAGCAACTACTATCTTCCAGGAACTTTTCTGGGTGCTTTACGTCTACACACTCCCTCAATCCTTTTCACAGCTCTATAATGTAGGTACTATTACCTCCGATTTACAGATGAGGAAACCAACTCAAGTCATGAAGAGATGACATGGAAAAGTCCAAGGTTGTAGAACTGTTAAGTGACAGAGACAGCAGATTCACTGTCTATGTACTATGTACTATGTACTATGTTCCTCTCCAACTATGTACTATGTACTATGTTCCTCTCCAACTATGTGCTATGTACTATGTTCCTCTCCAACTGACACTTTTCACTCTAGGCCTGGAAAATTCACCAGTTTCAGAGAAGACAAGAGATTACAGAGGAGCCCATGGCCAAAGACGTAACTGGCCTGTAGTAGACATGGGACACAGGTTTTGGAAAGCATCAGCTGTAGCTCCAGTTCAAAAATCTGCTGATGGGGATTCTTCAGCTGGCAAAAGAAGAGGAGGCACTGCCCAGAAATGTAAGAAGTTCCAGAGCAGGAGACGGGAGGAGTAGCATCAATCAGCATGTCACATGGCTAGAAAATTACCTTGGAATATTGCTAGGTAAGACAGGGAGAAGAGCGCTAATCAAAAGGAAGTAGAGGTTGTGTGACCAGAAAGTGAGGTGTGGGCTTTGATTCAACACAGAAGTAGCAGGAAATGGGGAAAAGGGGATATGGAAAGTAAGGTTTTAGAACGCATTGGACTGACATGGAAGAAGTATTTGTTGAGGAACATCCCGAGGACTGGAGTTGCCATCACTGCAGGAGGCAACCAATCAATGTGTCTAGCTCACATCGATTCTCTATCTGCCCATCTCCCCTACTGCCCTTCCATTCTCTAAAAATCAATGGAAAAAATATCCTCAGGTGAGGATTAACAAATAAATAATAAATATAAAAATTGGTCCACAATAGAGGTTCCCTGATATCAAAGGCACCAACTAGGAATATTAAGAATTGGGATTTACAGCCCTGGCCAGTTTGGCTCAGTGGATAGAGCATCAGCCTGTGGACTGAAGGGTCCTGGGTTCAATTCCAGTCAAAGGCACATGCTTGGGTTGCAGGTTCCATCTCCAGTTGGAGCATGCAGGAGGCAGCCAATCAGTTAATTCCAGTCAAAGGCACATGCTTGGGTTGCAGGTTCGATCTCCAGTTGGAGCATGCAGGAGGCAGCCAATCAATTATTCTCTCATCATTGATGTTTCTGTCTCTCCCTCTCCCTTCCTCTCTGAAATCAATAAAAATATATAAAAAACGCACCACACAAAGTGTTAAAAAAAATAACTGGGACTTACAAGGAGTCAGCATTATGAGGAACAGGGAACAGTCATTTGAAAGTATAATCATTTGCTTATGGTGTCAGAATATAAGACAATTTTTTGAATCTATTACTGATCTATTTTTCTCTCACAATGGATTGGGAAATATTCCACATATAAAGTGTTCTAGGCATGCTCTCCCTCCCAGGAGCAATCCCACACCCTTTTTTTCTCTCTCGGGCATGCATCTCCTAAACTCTAAGAGTCCCCATGAGACTTGCAACCAGGAGAGCAATGGGCGGCAGCAGCTAGTCCCAGGTGAATGCCCTGAACTTGTACCCAAGGCCCTCTTTCCTCTGACTTCTCAGTGAGCCATAGCAGCCCCACCTACGCTCTCTCCTCTTGCTTCACTGTCTCCATTTTGAAGATTGGGTGTTTGGATATTTGGGCATTTCTCCCAGAAAGGAAATGATGCTAGGAGTAATTTCCTCCAAACCTAGGGGTGCAAAGTGTTACAATTAACCTTTGATAAGAGATTTTCCCCAGTCTAGTTAAAGCCCCCCGGCCAAGTACCACTGACAACTATAACAGGTTGGTTGGGAGTTGGTTGAAGTTGGAGACATGTAGACTCTCCTTTTCTGCCAGAAGCCGGTCCATCCTTGCTGCTTGACACAGTCGCTGCAGGAAAGAAACATCTGCACAGCATATGTTTCAAGGGACCTGGCATATATAGTATATTGTTCTTAATATGTTTGCTCTCCTTAAGCGCCATGTGTTTTAACCAAGGTCACCTCTCC